TTCAGATAGTTTGAGGGATCTTCTCCTCTTTTCTTGGCTTTAAAGCTGATAACAGCTTTCTTCTGTGGGCAAGGTAAAATCTGTTTCATTCTCCCTTTTTTAAAAACAGCAGGAAGAACAATCAATGACTTTCGTGGTAGATGCCACATCATTTCTAAACTAATAGCATCAGGAACGTTTTGAACTTACCTATCTAATATACAGCTCTCTGCAATTGAAGCATGATAAAATCACCATTATAATGCTCCGAGGAAAAGTCGAATGCAACAGGAAATTTCTTAGGTCGTAACTTGGCAGATAAAAATTCTGTCATTAGAGACGGAAACAATAGTTCTACTCATAGTATTTGCAAGCTCTTCTGTGGCTCTAATTGCTCACCAACTTTTTTTTTTCGGTACTGAAAGAGAATGGTCACTATAATATTCCACATGCTTTTGTCCTTCTCAGATTATTTTCATTTGCATAGAATTTATCATTTTTGACAAATAGGATTTCGGTGAATCCTGGCGTCTCACTTTTCTTGCCTTTGCTTTAGCTGTTTTAAAAGCCACAATGTTAGGTAACGTGAAGCAGCATCGAAAGATGCTCGCTCGTCTACTTTACTGTCTGCAAGTTTCCTACTACACATTTTTCCACCAAACTTTTAGATATTTTGTTAGCCTTTATGATGATGATTTAGGCATAGAGTGTTTGCGCCTTAAACAGAGTTTTTGTGTTATGTTTCACAAACAATGTTTAAGGCAACTGATCAATCCTTAGCTTATCCACCGTTTCTTCATTAAATAACCCACGAGCTGGAAAAGATTCCTAGATTTGTCCTAGAAGTAAATTTTCTGGAATCTAGAAAGATGAATATTGTTACCTCTTGCGACAGACTCTAAAGATTGGAAAATAGTCACTACTGCATATGTCAGTCTCTACACTAAAGGAACGATGTAACTTAAAGGCTGGGGAGCAAATGGCAAAATCTATCAAAGGAAATGTCCTTGAGTGCTGGCTGACTTTTGCACATTACTGGCGTTACTGAGCAAATGAATACAATGACCATAAATCAGTTGTTCGCTCTGTCTTCCATTTACACTTGTACCTCAGAGACTTTTACGCAAAGTTAAACTTCTAGTTTTTAAGAAAGAGATGGGCAGCTGTTCTATTAGGTCATCTAACTCCCTCTGACTGATACATGGAGGTAGGAAGTAAGGCCTCCATGGACTTTCTTACCTCCATGGACTAATGGATAATAAAAGGAGCACACAGAAATCGGTCTGTGGTACTACAGCTTCGAGATGCATTGTCAAAGAGAATACAGTTGATGAATAATCATGGCAAGATAGACGAACCTTACCTTCACACCATCCTTCCTTATAACAGAATATTTCCAAAATTTCTACGAATCTCTCAGTTTCAGGGAAGTCTCTTTTACAGCACGGGATAAAATTTGTGAAAATTTACCTAATTAAAATTGAATTCATATTCTACATCAACACGCTTTATACAAAAATGTGTTAAAAGTTTAGCATGTCACATCCTGCATTATTAAACTTATAAACTTTTAAATGTAATAAGATCAAGGGCTTCAAACACCAGATAATTCGTAAAGTTTCTTTAAAATATCGAATCTAAGTATATAGGTATTCCTTGCCATAAATAAATTCGACGACTCCCGAAAAGTCCTTGAGCGAGTACGGATTCATTTAAATATCAAAAATATTATAGACTTCCCTGAGTTAACTGACTGATATTGAATTTATGATATTGTTTTTACTATAGGTATCTTCACATATTTCAACAGTTTTGACATGATATTGCAATGTAAAATTTATAAGCCTTTGAAAAAAGTTTAAATGGATTTGAATTAAAATTCAAGTTGTTCCCGAGATATTTATTACCACAAAATTTATATATTCGCACAAAACAAGGTAAATCCCTTTGCAAAGATATCAGACAGTGAAATTAACAATGCACGAAAATTGAGCAATTTTCGAAAAAGCGAAAAAAATTTGGTGATAGTCTGTGAACCATTTTCGGTAGAAACTGATAGTGCACCGAGTGAGACTACAACTTCAGATTACAAATTTGCGGTGGTGTTTTAGAAATTTGAGATAATTTCACAGAACTTTAAGAAATCTGTAAAGTTTACAATATCCTTGTGGGGATTTATTTAATTTACTTAGCAGTTATTTCATGCTCAAGCAGCCTTTCCTATGGTTCTTGCTTTCAACTCAAACTTTCTTGCCATAATGTAAATGATCTAGCTCGCGTGTATTCAGTGAGGTAGAAAGAAGTTAGTATAAGGAAAGGTTTTGGAAAGTGAATTGACAGCGTGTTCTGCCTGCTTGAAATCCACGTTAATATGTTTGATTCTCTAGCGATTAGATTTCTGTGGCATTGAGTTATTTATGCAATTAGGCTTGTTTCCGCGGACTTGAGCGAATCAGAGCCAACTTGCGCGATTTTGAACCTATCAAGCCGTTAAGCTAAACTTAACTCCATTTAATTTTAATCATTACCTTTTTGAGTTAAACCAAAAGTGTTGGATTAACTCAACTCACGTAAGCACTGTTCGGTGCCACCTGTGAACTTTATCTGAGTAAATAAAGGATTCTTTACACCTTTCTCCTGACTTTGTCGTAGTTCGGGATATTTCCTTAAGCAGTCTTCTAACGTCTAGCTTTGTTTATGATACCAAATCATACGAGACGTTATACCCTTAACTTAGACAAATTCGACAAACTTAAAGATGTTAATCAAAAGCTGTTGGTTTCCTCTGGATCAACCAACACATGAGAATAAGTACTTTCTATCGTGAATCTCAATGAAAACGTTTTACGATCAAACATCCTGTATGATCATTCACAGACGGTTTTAAGAATAACCCCTTTAAAAATTTTTAAAAATTAGGAAGAATTAAACAACATCCATTATTCTCACTAAATAATTGAGTGTTTAAAAATTTACTTTTTTTGTTGTTGTTGTTAAAATTCACATCACTTGATAATAACAATTTACAGTAAAATTTCTCTCAACCGGCAACAACGGGGCATCACCGATTCCGGAAAACTGAATTTCCAGAAAGTAGCTGCTGATGTTTTGTGTTTTGTGATACACCGTGAAGGAGTTGTAGTAAGCAAAGTCCGTCGGTCGTATTTTTTGATCTATCAGCCACAATTAAATAAACATTATCTAAAATTAAAATACACACAGGAAAACAGAAAGGAAAACAAAATTAAGCAATTTAAAATTCTATCATCATATAAAAGATACGAATCTCTTAGTGTGATTACATAAAACTTTGAATCTCTGTCTGCTTACATCACAGACTTTTTAAAAATTCGCTGTGTATACAGTGAAACTTTATGTTATTGACATGGATAACCATTGATTAGTAAATCTTACGAAAGTCTGTCTTTCGTCAGATTCCTTCCATTATAACTCTATTGTCCTGCGTGTCGTCTCCATCTTCCCATCATCCTCTTTCTCGTTTCCCAGTACATGTCCAATTATTTCGTCTTTATCCTGAGAGCGGGAGCCAGAAACAGAACCTTCTACATCCACCCAAGCCTACATCTCCTGATCACTAGCACTAATTTTCTCCGAGCATGTAACTAAATCCGAGATGTCGGACAAGTTTTTAAAACCAAGATAATCTTCATCATTTGACTCGTCTATGAACAAGATCATAGACTATTTACGTCAACAGTGACATAAAGTAATTTTTCCCCCAGGCAAGATACAGAGTAAATATGGGCATCGTTCAGTGTAAATTATTTCTGAAACTCAAGAATACTACCTTCGAAGATCACGCATTAACATATAAAAAAGGAATGATAGCTCATATTGATATTTTGATTAATTAATGGGTTGGATTTGTTGCTAAGTTGAGCAGCAGAAACATAACTGAGATATTGCACGGTTTATATTAATTCTAGTTTATCTGAGTTACATTAAAGGATTTATTGACATGCTAGCACTTTGATCAAAAACAGGATATAGAAGATTCTTAGATAAGTCAAAATTCTTATCCAAATTTGTACTTAATGACATTAAATTTACCGCTCAGAAGGAAAGGTCATATAACAAAATGAAGTAGTTGCAATTTCATAGCTCAGTAAAATTTTAGTCGGTCAGAAAATATGACCATATATGGGACAATTTTAAATAGGGGTTAGGTGTATACCTAATTTAACAACCCTCCTGCATCCTCTTTGCCCAGAATCCTAATAAAAATTTAAAAATATTATACCCAGATAACATAAAATTTTACTGCAGAGTGAGCACCGGGGCCATCATTAGAAAGTCTACGCATAAAATATTCATAAAAAGTGTTCGCCACGTCAAAATCGTGAAATAAACTATCTCGCATTTCACAGCGGATGTTCATTACAAATCAGGAATGGGTAATATTATTGCGGCTACATTCTTTGCCATTCAAGAAATTAAAGCTATTGCTTTTATAGATTATGAAGAATTTCCTAGGCACAAGTAACAGATTTTGAGTTAATGATAATATTATATGGCAGCAACTCGTTACAAATAAAAAAAGCAGCTCCAAAATTGAGAAATACATAATGATACATCTACCGGTAGAACATCATATTTCAAACCAAAGGCGATTAGACAATAGTGTTTTAACTATGTGCATGATTTTCATGATACAGCATTTATTCACTCGCACGACCTTAAAATTAGTCCCTAGTCTAAGAAAAAGAGAAGCATAACAAAAGTAAAATTGAACGACAACAAAGGGAAATCCATAGTATAAGTAAATCATTTCAGCAGTTTGGAAGCGACAGTAAACTGTAAACACTGCAACAATCGACATCACAATAGTGTCGCCATCTATTGGTGAACACGGAAAATGATTTGAGAAAATTTAAAGTTAGTGTCCTAATGACTTTCTCTCCCACTAGATGGTGCCACATTACTGAGAAAGTACGTGCGGATTGTGTCAAGGAAATTCTTCAGTTCTCTTGCGTAAGCATAATTTAATGAAAAATACGTACTTTTTACTATATTTTATCGCCTTGTATCTGTGTTTATTTTCATCTGATGATCTGCAAATATGTCTTTCATGTTAAAAATCTTTCATCTCAGTCGACTCAATCGAACGCAGTTCGCGAAGCGGGATCCGGCACGTCTGCGCAATCCCAGAGTATGTCGTTAGCCAAGGTTCTTTAATATACTAAGGTTAGGCCAGGAACGGAAAAAGCGTGCCATTGGTTGCTGGTAGTGACGTCACCCGGGAGACAAGACGCATCGGCCGACGCGTCTGCTACATGATTTTGGTAATGGAAAAAATGTAAACTAAAGCAAATGATCATTTTATATGTGGTAGTAGATACACCTGAAGAACTGAACACCTGGAAAATGTTTATTTTATGCACAGAATTCGTACCATGCTGAAAATAATTGTAAACATTAAATTCTTTTCGAAAGGAAGCATTAGAAAATGAAAACGATATTTAAGTTAATTAAGGGAAATAAATATTGGAAAACAGGTTTTTCAATTTTTTCGTAGTATTGTTTGCACTAAATAAATCTTGTTGAACAGAACACATGATGGCATAACTGCTAGACATGGTAAAAACATAATCAAAAAGTATTATTCTATTTATTTCATTGCTCATGCACTTTTTTAATACAAATGAACTTTGACATTCCATGAGAAATATATGATCGTGATTTCAGTTTAAATTACCTATCTCAAGCAAAAATATATATAAAAAGCTTGACTTACAAATCATATTTAAATACTACAAAATTCTACAAATTTTAATATCCTCATTATACTTTTAAATAGTATACTATCTCATTTCTTTTTAAGTGAAAAGTCACTTCATACTGATTCACTTCAGATTTTAGCAGAAGTGCGTATATTTTCAGTATATCTAAAGTACTCTTATAATCCCTTAACTCAACAAGATTTCTATATAACATTATCCGGACGTGATTATTTGCTATAGTAAATAATCTTCGATATTGGCATCCTATTCTTCCTCCATACATTAAAATGGAACATTAAATACATTTTCTTACACATATACGCACAATTATAATAATAATAAACTTGCCCTACATCTTAGTTTCGGCCCACCAGCGGCCGAGCGGTAAAGTCGCTGAACACTGGTAGTTCGGTTCGAATCCCGCGAACGGACTGGCTGCATGGGCGTTTTCGTGGTTTTCCTCATGTGTAACGTGTATACGAGCCAGTTTCCCTGAGAAAGTCCTCCACGAAGGCATCACACCTATTGCGCAATTAGCTTTAGTGTGCTTTGCCATAATTAAATACACCACCACATCTTAATTTCAATTCAGCCTGTACACAAATTAAATATTTTTAATTACTAATGTATTTTTATCAGGTTGTTTCTTAAAATACTTTTGTTATACTCGAAGTATGTGTTCAATATTGAATTATTTTTCTTTCTCTTTAATTAAAAACAAAGTTATATGGAATCCAAAATTAAAACATATGCAGCAGTTAAATAAAATTGAACCGACCTTATCTTACTTAACTCTTTCGCTATTTGTATTCCTGGCATTATACACAGATTTGTTTTCCTTCAGGGTTCAAGCATGGATAAGTTCATTTAGTTATATCAATTAAATTACATCTCACATACCTGTATGCATCAGTTAATATACACTGAAGGAAATATGTCACTCACTCATTTCGATGTTTGCATCATAGTGTGGTCGAGAAATTGTTCTTTCCTCACGGTGAGGCATGTATCAGTTTACTTAGTTTCGCAAAGCTTAACCCAGATGCTGCTTCAATACATAGAATTACGTTTGGGATGTAAAGAAAGTAGCCAAAACATGTGAATAAAGTTGGATAACTGCGAATTTATTAACTAATCATTCAGGTACTCAGTATTGGATAAACATGACACTGAGTTTAAATATCTCACTACGATGTCTCATACACAAAATGAAGATTATGATAAAAAATTATTTAAAATGAGAAATTTTTCAATTTAAAGGTAAAATAGCAGTAAAATGAAAAATAAATGTAAAATTACATCACAGTTATGCATGAAAACTACACATAAATTCATTAAAAAAATAGTTTTATTTTATCTGGTTGTAAAGAGTGTTTTCCGCCAAAAGTTTATGGAATCCACATTGAGTAACACCGTCTTAAGCTTACAAAATTTGAGTACAAAAAACCAATCTATAATGTTGGCGCTTAAATTTCAGCTCAAAATAAGACGGAGGTTCATCTATCCCAGAGCTCCCCACTCTCGGTTGCTCGCCAGACGTCACTTCCGTTTGAGAAGATGTAAATAAGTTGGGAGGGGGGGTTGAACCAAAGCTAACGTGGTTGTCGTCTTTCTCAGAGCCGTATTATTCCATGCAGCTCTTAAATATCGTGTGCCCTCAAAATATACATTTTTAAATGGTTAATGAAGTAGTGTTTTTTACTTCTGTTGTTATAATGTTACCTATAATATTAAGCAGATAAGTTTTTATGAGTAACATTATAATGAAATAATATATTTCGAATGATATTTTTTTTTTAATATTTACCTTTCGGAAGATGTTAGGTGTTACATCCAATAAATGATTTCAGTAAAATAAAGATTATTATCATTTTATTGGCTCTGTGAGATGACTGAGAAGTTTTATGCACTCCCAAAGTCACCAAAATTAACAAACTGGTGTGGTGTAATCTAAATTCAAATGACTTCAAACTGCATAAAAATAACAAAATGTATAATTTTTCTATTTTATTTATAATGATGTTCTAAGGAATTTAAATGCTATTTAAAATCTGTGGTATTGTTAAGTATGTTATGAATAAGGACAGGCAGTTGTGTCAAACTAAAATGCTGAAAGCGGTAGGTAAATAGATAAAGAAAAATGTCTTTAAAATATAGTTTGGGAAAAATGAATATGTTAACTGTGTTAAGTTGTGAATTCATTAACGCACTTCATGTACTATAACTAGCACTGATAAAGATAAAGTTTTCTTAATATCGATAAACAAAGTACATAAAAACATATTCCTACATATCATTAAAATATTAGTATTTTTCATGAATTCCAGAGAAAATATGCTAATGAATAATAAATACCATGGTCAAGAATTACCTAAACAAACAGCAAAAAAAAAAAAAAAAAAAAAAAAAGATTCCCTACCTTGATACATAAGAAAGGAATATCACCATGTAACACATTGTTCACTTGTGTCAATATCACAGGCATTTTCTTCAGATTCTCCATTGACAAGTTGTATCTGTTAAAATGCCCCTGAGGCAGGAAAACAATCATCTGCTGATGGGACAGGTGCATATTTAAAACATAGAGATTCACAGGATTCGTAACGATATCAAACATGTTTTCACAATGCTTGAACCTACACCTTTTTCAACGTAAATATTGAGACACATTTTTCATCACATCAAATGCATACAAAGAGGCTACTAAATTTAGATTCTGTTTCTCCAGGGAAGCTTGTATTTGAGAGAAATATGAAGCTATAAATGTGAGACTCTTATTTAGAGATGCCTTTTTAAATAACGCCTAAGCATTTTAATCGAAGAACATAAAAAATATTGACAGCATCTGTGGTTTTGACAAAATACTAGTCATTAGGGCCAACCTTACTGTATTTTCTGCCCACGAAAGCATACAGAAAGTAAAAATCTGTTAATCACCCTTCACTGAAACCAGAAATAACTGAATAAAGATAGAACATTTCACAAAGAAATCTATAAAAAAACTTCAGTATTTGGCATTCTGTGCAATCACCCTACCTCCACCTCTTAAAAACGCTACTACTCGCCAAAATAGCAAGCTCACGCTACCATATTCCTCACTTTTTCAAAACTGGATTTAAAGGCAACAATATATCAACTGCAATCTCTCTAAAGACTTTTGCTCTAGCAGGTAATTCTAAAAACATCCTTTTTACATTAGAAATAAGTTTGCAATTGTCTGTGAACAATTCATGAAACTTTTCGGCAAGGTGTACAGGGTGTGCATTTTAGATACAGTATTTTGAGAAACGACCCTGTAAATGCCTCACCTTTTTTATACATCTCATCATTCAGGAAAAGAATGGCATAGTCATGTTTACTTCTATTAAGACGAAATAAATTCTATTGATGAAACTTGAGATATACCGAAACTGTTGGTTTCTTTCTACATCTGCTATCAGGAGGAATATATCTGATATTTTAGGGTGTAAGGTTTTAGTTGCAATGTTACATATGAATTTTACCACAGCATTCATTCATGAAAATGAATTGCTGTCCAAAATCACACTTTGGATATCCTAAACTGCACCAATGTAAGCAGTATGTCAATATGTTCTTCTTAAAATAGATTTATAGGGAATTTATCACTTTCAAAATATCTTTTTGCAGATGGACTTTTAACTTTCCAAAATGTCATTCAATTCAAATCATTCATGAACTACTTATGACATGACATGCAGCTGTAAACACTAGTAAATGTTTTGTTGTTTCATTGGCATTACACTTCCTCTTAATTGTATGTTTGTGCTATGCTACAAAATAAAATTTTTGAGCACTAAGTGGTTTTTCTGGTGCTTATGTATCAATAAAAGTGTCCATTCCAAATTCTTTTGAAAAATTGTTCATTTTCCCTATCATTGAAAGCTCTTTCTTAAGCTTGGCAGTATAGCACATAAGGCAAAGCAAAGAAACAAATGAAACTGAGAGAAGAAATTTTGACAGAACCTAGTCATCACTCTGGCATTCATGCTGCTAAGTTCGTCAACAATAACCTTCCTGAAAAGGAGCATTTCATCCATTTATTTTTTTAGGTAATTTCTAATTATCACACCCCACCACCACCAAAAATTATAAATTTGTTGCCAACTTTGGAGAGAGATGTTTATTTGAGTACTTTTGTGTCTATTTTAATAATGCATCCAGTGCCACCTATTTCTTTTTTTCTACAATACACACATACTCCTTTTTTTTTTTTTTTTTTTTTTTTTTTTTGTGTGCTACTGTTTGATTTCTTGGACACAGCATTGAAATCAAAATTTTAAAATAAGAAGGTAAAAAAAAAAGAGGTCCATAAAGCCTTTAACCCTTTGATGGGCGGCGGGACGGCTTTTTTTTATCAGTTTTTATCTCCAAGATGACAGCTGCAAAATTCTGTTTAAAATACATACAATAATACCTTTCAGTTTCCTAAATATATAACAGATGGTGGTGGCACTAGTAATTCATAGAAATCATGTAGGAAAAAATTCTTTGCAGGTCTAAT